GGGGATTTACAAATTCGTTATATCTCATTTTCTAAGTATATGAACAAGATATTTGTTTAAGATGATCCCATTTGATTAACCGATTAAAAATGATACCATTCGATTCGTACGAGATGTGAATCTTAATTGATATATAGAAATTATTGCGCACTCTTATGACCAACAGGACATCTAAGAGTTCACGTGTTCTAAGTTGAAACTTCTCTTCGGTATCATTTCAGGATTACCTTTCGCGTATACACGAAAATGAGATTTACAATTCGTCAGTTTCGGACGACAAAAATTCATCGGAGGATTGTTCGTCCCGTTCACTACTACTGCAACTAGATGTAACGTCATCAAACGAAGCATATGTGGAGTCTGGGCTTGATGGCAAAGACGATGGTCTCGAGTTTGTCTTCTCTGTCGTGGAAGAAATATTTTCGTTCGTAGAATTTTGTGCATCTAATCTTTGTTGCGCGCATTTGTTCTCGGGATTGTTTAGCACAGAATGGATGAAGTCACGCGTTTCTGCGCTGAGTGCGTTTACTCTTTCTTGGAGAATATGGTTCCTTCTGACCAAAGCCATTGTTCGTACGACGATGTCCAGAAGACCTATAGAGTCGCAAGAATAAATTACAATTATTCAAAATTATTGTATTTGTATTGTGCGAACAAACTGTTCAGTCTCAAACATGAATAGAGCAGAGAGGATACAAAGAGAAGAGACTTCTTAAAAATTGTAAAGTATTGAGTGTTAAGATATTTTCTATAGTAATAGTATGGACGAATAGTTTTATGTTAATAATGTCTAACCTGCATATATGTCTATATACATATATGCATATTGTGTCACGTACCTAAATATAAGTTTGCAAAGATGGACAAACATTTTTGTTTATACAGATTATCAGATACTAGTGAAATGACTGTTTCTGCATGTTATACTTCAAACTGAAAGTAGGAATCAAACAATCAAAAAATGGGTTTATTTATGCTGCTCAAAACAATTGGAGTATGTTCAATGAAAATTGTAATAATGAAATATAAGTGGAATATGGTGAATTTTATTGTTAGCTTGAACCATACAACAGCAATAAAACTGTGGTTGTCACATAAACGAACGATAAATTAAAAGCTTATACAAACATTGGGTGGATAGTTGTCAATATTTAATTTTTTAATTTAAAATGTATCATGTATTTCATTGTTCATCATATCAATATTGTTGTTATTGTACATATCATATTTTTTTTATGTAATTTGCTCCATGTCCATACATGAACACGAGTCGCTTAGACCCAGACCTGCTTTAGTTCGTAATGACACGGAAACCGCACCTTTCCGTCGGGCGAGAAACACCTTCCAATGTTCCTCCGCGTCAGCCGGAACTCGAGCAGAGACTTTCGGGGAGGAAGAACTGACGATCGTAGGGGTGTAGGAGTCATTAGAACATTCTGGTTCCCAAATTGAACTCTCCGGTGGCGTTAAACGTGATTCTCCGCGGGTCACCGGGTTCGTTCCTGTCCTCCTCAACTCCAACCTCTGATGTTTCCCAATGGCTCCGGTGGAAGAAACCCTTTGTCGCCTTCGCGAACACGGGATCGTCGGCCTTCTGACCACTGGTAGCTCCGATAGACAAATGGTCGGGGCCATTTTGCGAAAAAGAACTGCAATTCAGAAAGAAGAGTAATTATTAAGCTTGATTAAGATTATAAAGGATTTACAGCAACAACCATATTTTTGTTATACGTATTTTATATTATATCATTATTATTATATTATTTATTTCTTTATATATGTTTACGATTTCTCTTCTGCATTTAAATACATACATATATACCTCAGAAATATAATATATAATATTAATTATAATATATAATATATAGACCTCAGAAACCCCTTATTTCCCGGAAATACCATAATTTTTTGACACCCTGTATATATGTATATAATATGTATTTGTATATTACATTTTATTTTTAAAAATATGATCTTCCACATGGTATACAAAGTAGTTGCGTCTAGCAATTAGGATGGTAGTTCCACAATAGTAATCATTGTATGTTTAACGAGTTCTCGATCGCTGTCACGTGTGTGTGTGTGTGACGTCCACAACCTCGTGGTTTACGTTAAAACAGAAAAGTTAATTTGATTACACGTTGTTTCTTTAATGTCATAATAAAAATTGTTTTAACATCTCGAAATAGAGATACGTTGCATTTAATACATATATAAAATAACAATTGTCGTGAACGTGTTAATTAATATGTTTGGTGTAATAAGTTGCATAAACTTATACTTTGTTGTATCATTACTTAAACAAGTACTTACTATTGTTTTTTATTGCGGTGCGAAAAGGACGTGACTGCAATATTTACAGTGCACTTATTACAATAGTAAAAAAGATCTAGAATTGATACTCCCAGTGTAAAAAAGTTGATTATCTAGCATATATATTATAATATATTTATAACAGGTAGTACTAGATTTTGTTGCAGTAACCTATTTCATTAAAATATCTGCCTCAGATCATACACTGTTTTAAAATAATCGAAAAATCTGGTTATCAAGTGAAGCCAATTTTTTGTTATACTTGTAGTTATATATTTCAGATTTTTCAAAAAATTCTGTAAATTATATATTAATTGAAATATTACTATTTTGAATACAAAATGCAAGTCTTATTTGTTCTTATGAAAAGACTGTCTTCAATAAGTCATTAGTTATAAGCATGAATGATAAAAGACAGCTATCAACTGTTATTCAAAATAAATTACATTTGATTTCCTTGAATTTTCTTACGGAAGAATTCTATTGTAGATCTTGTATCTTTCGATCGTAGATCAAAATCTTTTTGGTTGTACCACGAAGATAATCTATTCATTCGATTGTTATTTTTTTCTTATCGAAGTGTCATTCACAACAGAAATTTATTCAATAATTGTTGTGTCGGCGATTTACAACGATACCAGTCATCCGTATAATTTGATGAGTAGTAGACAATCGATGGCCTAAATATGCAAAGTTGTGATGTGCTTTGCTATGCAAACGAGCCTGGCAAGACAACTTTATCAGTGGATACGCTGTATTTTAAACAAAATAATTTCAAAGGATTTTGAAGTTTCAATTATACCGCCGGACATATGAACGAAAATTATAACTATGGCTAAAGTTACAACAAATAATAGAAGACCAGCAGGTATATGAAACAGTTGGTATGAAATTAACCGAAATAATAAAAGTTTTTTGTTTTCTCCACAATTTTTAATTTATGTTCATATGGAATTTATTTTTAACTATGGAAAAAGAGTTTCAGGGTATTTGTCGGGTTTATCTATTGATATCTGTAATGATAGAAAGAAAAAAATGTCATATCTACTTGAAAACAATAAATGGATATAGTTATTGTTTGTTTGAAGATCAAATCAATTAAGTACGAATGTTAACAGAAACAGTTGTTGAGGTTCTCTTTGTTTACTCGCGAGTACACGCTCAGAAGTGTTAACAGTCTAACGTATACTTCGGAAAATAAAGTACCGCTACGTAAATCTTCACATTTCGACAATCCGAGCAAATAAACTGGGTTCAACTGGGTTTACGTATGGTACATTCAGAGCTTTATAATTCGGACTTATAGTTATTTTTTGTGATATTTAAAATATGTTATTTTAAATTGTAAACAGAGTTATATATAAAAAAGAAATCAATTTTCCGTTTGCCAATTTGTCATTTATCAAGTTGTACATTTTTAGAGTTTTGTTTTACGGTATAATATTTGTGCAGTAGCGTAAATTACTGTATGGGACAACATTATTTTTGTTTAGCTGGACGTTTATGATATAACGTAAGAAAATATCACTGCTCCAATTATCTCTTCTATATAGAATAGATTTTTAATTACATGTCAGGACAATTTAAATATTTGTTATCTCTAATTTATTTTCCATACAATTTTTATTATATTAATTTATAAACAGTATCCTGACACATATATGTTATTTAATTTTTATTTTATCATATATCTATGCACGTATATATTTAATTTAATTTTTATAATATCGTAATATTCAATTGGTATCAAGTTTATCAATAATTAAGTGAATTACATTTTAATAAGTAGTAAAAGATATAAAATTATTTATATTAAATTTCGTTACGTGGTAATTTGTTTTTTTTCCCTCGATTTCTATGTTTCCTTTATGATTTTTACGATGTGTATAATTGATCAGGAAATGTCTCGTGCATTTCTTTTGTAATCAGAAACGAAGTGTAAAAACCGCAATAACTTCGTTTACGATCTAATATTTATGGCCCATGCCATTCATAATGTGTGAATGAAGTAAAAAATTGTTGACAAAAAACACCGGCTTTGCTTTTCTTTTTATTGACTAAATCCATTAATAAAGTGAACAACTCTATATAATTAGAATAATTCTGTGAATAACTCTACATTAATTCAGTTCTATACAAACCGTAATAAATGGCACTTGTATACAATATAATTGTGAGAAATTACAGTTCATGGAAAATCCGCAAGATGGTATTAAGAAAAATAGTCCAATTTTTACATATAAAATTACCAATATCCAAATTTGATTGACACGCGCGTGCTTTGTCCTTTAGCATTAATTATCACTACTTTAAAAGATTGCACAGACCGTAGTTAAAATATGCTTTTAAAATAACTGCCATGCATCAAGTAGGTGACTGCAATGGCAGACACGTGTCTACCGTGGTCAAGGTGTGAAATACTGGCTCGTGGCGATATTATTAGATATTTACAAGTGAAAGTCTCGTCTCCGAGATCGTCGTTTATAAATAATTCCCTCGTGGCAGCGTAAAGCGATGCTTCCGCACTAATAAACGGATGAGCACGACCTATTTTCGCTCTTGGAAATGTGTCTCGTAAGCACATTCACTTCTCCAGTAACGTTTATATAAGTGTTATGCTTGTAATTTTACGTGTCGTTGAGTTTTTAACTTTAATTTTAATGTATCCATCCATATCAATGGAATATTATTGACCGGGTATTCTTAATGTACTCATGATGACGTTTCTGTTACATGTTCCTATAAAAATTGCTTCGTGCAATCATCAAATATCTCTACCTTTTTAATTACACAACCATTACCAGTTATTCAGTTAAAAGCTATTAAATTAAATGGTATTAGGTTAACAGGGTTGTACATTTTACTTAACAAATTACAAGCATATAATTTCACGATGTAGTACATAACATATGAACAAAAGATACATCATTTATTTTTCACATTACTGAAGTCTTTAATACATGACCTAGTACTGTGAGGAAAATATTTTTAATATTTCTCGTCCTCTCTCTAAGAGTTAAGTTATTAAGTTATTAATTTATATTGCGTAGTTGAGAGAGAGAGAGAGAGAGAGAGAGAGAGAGAGAGAGAGAGAGAGAGTTATTAAGTTATTAAACGACTTTAAAAATATTATAAGTGAAAAAAAGTGCAATATTCTATTGTTATAAACTGCAAACAATTAATCCGAAATCTGGACATTCTTGCATCTTCCATTTCTCGTAGCTTAATTCTACGTTAACCGAAGCAACACGCGTTAATCGCCTTTAGTGCTCGATAGGCTTAGTGTTAACCCATTTGCATCCGCAAGCGGAATAATCCGAGCGCGTGATTATTGCAAACTATCGACCAATTAGTTAACTATTTTCAAGATTAATTACTAGATTAGTTAACTGTCACCACGTACTTACATACTACATAATGCGGACTATTCCGCAATTGGTGATAGTTGACAATAATCACGCGGGGATCATTCCACTTGTAGATGTAAATGGGTTAATGAAAAAAAGCTTCATATTGATCGAATAGAGGAAATTGAACCAGACGAAACGGAAGAATATTGATTGGTCGGTGGGGTTGATGGGACGATTGCTTCTTGAACTTTCACATGACCGAAGAGACAGGACACCGAAGCATCTGGTGGAACAACGCAACGATGGCGTGCAGCCTGTATCTTCGGCTATGAATTACACGTGTGCACCCTCGTACCGGTCGGCGACGCGATCGATGCAGGCGATGACCTGATTACTATGGACGTTGGTGCACGTGTCTGCACCGGAGGAAGGCAACGGAGAACCTCGACACGACTTCTCGTCTCCCCTCGACTCTGCTTGCCTGTACGCCCGGCTGCGGCCGGTTTGACCTCGGATTTTGTCGCACCACGTGTGCCCGTGAAATGGCACGCTGATAAACGCTCTAACGGAAGAACGATTAACGCTAATAGACGCATACAGCTTCCACGCCGCACCACGCTCTATATTGATTATTTATTAATCCCTTGCCGTACAATTTTCTTCCAAAGTTACGAGTATCAGAATTTTTTCGATTTTAGTAATTTCTCAGAAGTAACAGGAATTAATGTGGACCGTACTGTATAAACGTACTACACTTCATTTAATGAAAAGGGTGTAAACTACACTATATGTATAATTATATTGAATACGTGTCGCGTCGATCGCATACAGCGTGACATTAAATTTTAATGAAGTTCTGACGTTTATTTTTATTACAATATATTGAACAAATGATTTTCCTTAACGTTGCCTAACGTCGCCCGTAAATTGAAATTAATTGAACCCTAGTAGTTCCGCAAATTAGAAAATGATGATATCAATCTGCT